ACGACGCTCTTCCGATCTCCCCAAAACCCCAAAACCCCGCGAGATAAATATCAAAGAAAATTTAAGAAATTAGTAGATTAAAATTAGCATAATTTGATATAGCTGAGTTATTCTAGTAGATAGTTGAGAGAACTTCTGACCATATCTATTTCAGTCTTGATGATAAAATAGATCTTTCTTCTCGAAAATTAGTTGAACATTCTATTCTATAGTGCTTCTTCGAGGTGATATAGCTTCTAATACCAATATCCGTGCATTCTATGTTTTATTAAATTGGCCAAACTAATTGGGATTTGCTGAAATAGTAAAATTTGGAAGATATTCAATCTTTTTCCTTAAAAAACGTCACATCTATTTTTATAATTATGTCCTCCATTTCTGTTTTCTCATAGACATACTTTGATTCTTGAGCAATTTTAGGTATTCACTAATAAATGAATTTTTCTGATTTTTAAAAATTGAATTGTTCTTAAGCTAGTTTTTCAGATTTCTAAACTTTTAATTATAATCAAGGAATTGGTAAAAATATGACCTTTCATATCTTTAGAATATTGATGCAATTTATACCTATCAATTTCTTTGTCTAGAATACATCGAGGGTAACAGATTCCTAAATTGAATGATGATCACTCTAAAAATAAGCAAAATTTTGAAAGAATTCCATTATTTTAACCAAGAAAGCTTATATACTTCACTCATGTTTCATTCCATTCTCTATTGCAGAGTCTATAATTCCATATCCTTAGAATGCTATTAATTGACAATAATAATTTGCTTAAGTTAAATCTTTCACCTTATTAACTTATATTTTATTAAGATGATTCAACATCAATAATATCCATAAAAAGCTTCCAAGACCCTCAATAGTATCGAGAGCTAGATTCTTTTGCAAAGCAATTTGCCTTAAGAATTGATAATATCAGATAAATCAAAGAGTCACCTGGTTAAAAATCGAGCTAAGCGTTTTGTCTGCTATATTGATAGATGCAAGAAATCTTTTGCTAGAGCCAATCGATTAATCATTCATATATGATCTAAGCATTTTTTTGAAGCTATCCATAAATGCCCTCACAGTGGTTGCTCAAAGTTTTTTTCAGAAAAAGGAAATTTGCAAGTACATTAGAGGAGTCACACAGGTGAGAAACCATTCAAATGTAATTTTTGCAAAAGTTGCTTCTCATCAACAGGCAATCGGAAAGACCATGAAAACAGACATACAAAGAGAAGGTATTTAAAAATACTTGCTATAATTATTTATGCCTTCATTTTCAAAGTATTAACTTCTTTTTCTAGACCTCATTAATGTAAAATATGCAAGTAGAGTTACTACAGAAAATATCAGTTGGTCAAGCATTCAGAGAGAAAGCATCCATCTCTAAATTAATCTAATGATTCTGAATCTTTTGCTCCAACTTAGTCTACTCATTTTTCAGGTGAAGATTATTTCTGCGAAGATAGAGAACTAGTAATTGAACAAAAAATCCCAATAACTGCTATCGGCTTTTAAAAATGTTGCCCCCAAAAATGCTAAAAAATGTTTGAGCAAGAATTATTTATTCTAGAAGGTTAGTAATCATTTTCTAGCGATCTAAGGGAGGAAATCAGTTCTCAAGATAAGCAAGCTCATTTATTACCTGAGAATACATCTTTGATGAATTACCTTTCAGATTTTGAATATGCGTAAGCATAAGAATGTAATCCTTCAAGATAATTGGTTCAAGCTAAATCATTTATTTATGAGGATTCTTCAATAGCTTGCAAAATCTAAGATTAATATATTAATGCCTTAAATTTGGTATAGTAAAATGAATCGGTTCAAAACTCAGGATTTTTCTTCTCCTCAATATATTAAGATATTTTGGAATGTGGAGAATTATCCGGTATTTGGAAGCAATCTTTTGATTGAGATTAGTTTAAAGTTATTTTTTTATACTTTTGAAGACCTCATCTTGTTTTAATGAGGTTTAATATCTCAATTACTATTTTTATTAATTAATTCTTATTCTTCTAGTCTATCTTTGTCATTGAAGCTGATTGAATCTTTATAAACTACTATATTTCAGGAGTGTATCACTAAAGTTCCCCCAAAATGTTGAATATCCAATTAATATATTAAAAATCTCATCTAATGATCATAGATCATTTCCCATCCAAATGATCAAATGCAATTGAATTAATGATAAATGACGAAAAGATCATTATTGGGAAATTAGTCAAAATTTTTGCATAAAATAACCAATAGAATGCTATGTTAAAGTCCACATAGCATGTAATCTTATATCTTATCATAAATCCCGAGTTTTATCAGACTGCATTTTTATAGGACTCATTAATTTATAAAATTAAGCTTTTATCAGGAATTATCAAATTTTATCTATTTAATAGCTTCGTATATTGAGTCAGAATTTATTAAATTTATCAAATCATCAAATCATGGTAATATTTTAATATTCGGGGTTTTGGGGTTTTGGGGTTTTGGGGTTTTGGGGTTTTGGGG